TTTTGGTAATTTTTTTTCTTAGTTGTTTGTTGGGCTATCTTATTGAAACTTGGGCAGTGTATGATGGAAAGATGCCTCTTAACATACACCAAAAATAAAAAAAAAAACAGACAATAAATAAGGGAGTTTACTTCTCAGCTATTAGCCGCCTCTTTGTGGTATATTTTTGTATGGTTTTATGGTTGTATTCTCGTTCTTTATGGTCTCATTTGATAGAATGGAAGATATATTACAGAAATAGATATGAGTTTGATTGGTTTCACAACAAAAAGTACCTTGAAATTGAGCTCAAAGTAGCGGAAATGTTCGATTTTTGCTGATGTTCAATGAACTTTGTGTAAGTCAAGTTGGTTAATTTTATTAAGTGTATTCTAACTTAACCATTCTGTAATCTGGCAAACTCAGTAATCTGGCACACTACAGGTCCTAGTGATGCCAGATTTGTGATGGAGGACCTGTAGAAAGCCCATAGTTATGCAGAGCATTTCGGGCAAGCCTAGGCCTAACTTAAGACTACAAGGGCAGTAAACATTACATATATGTATTTTCCCTAAACTTCCAGGGGGCTTTTTCAAAAATAAAAGCTGACGGACCCAAATTGCAAAAAAAAGGGAAGAAATTTTGAGAATGAAGTTTTTAAAATTTTTTTTTTAAATGACGCGGGGCCCCCCTTACTTTTTATTTGACAGTTAAGGGAATTTGAAATAACCCTTTGGGAAATAGTTGTTGTTGTAGTAGATAGTGATATTGTAAAATAAATGAGCAGCAGAAATCACCCATTATCTGGATTATCTTGACAGAATTATAGGTAGTTAGATTGTAGCTAATCCTTCTCAGCAGATAGCCTTGATCTGCTTTCCCTGTGTACTGGGAAAAACTCCTGGTCATTCTATAGTGATTTTGTCATTTAATATTCCTATTGCTGTCTTTGAAACTGACAGGTATTTTGGCTTTGTCATAGGCTTTTTGGTAACTTTTGCCTATTAGTGAGCTCTGGCCTGTATTTCTATGTTTATGGACCTGCTTGTTTCTGTCTATAGCTGCCTACTTCCTTGTCTGGTGGGCACATGTGTTTCTTTGTTTTCCTTAGCCCTCTCTGCGCTGGAGAAAATAATCTCTTGCCTACTGGTAGGTCAGCTACACATTTCCTGCTTCCTCATTACTCCATGGTTTCCTTGCAACTCTGGTTTCTGGCTTTGCAGGACATCTAATGTAAGAGATCTCCAGCTATGTCATGACTGTAGTCTTGCAGACCTCAGGGCTTACCCTTGAACTTGGCTGCTTTGACAGGTTGGCTGTCAAAAGAGAGGCATATATGAGGCTAAGGTCGCAAGGGATTCAAGACTAACCAAAAGGGTTCTTTCAGGTATACAGAAGTAAGATTAGGGACAAGATAGGCCCACTTAAGAGTAACTCAGGTCAGATCACTGACAGTGATAAGGATATGTGTGAAATTTTCAATACCTACTTCCTCTCGGTTTTTACCCAGGAAAATACTAGCAAAATTCCTGAAATAATAGATTATATAGAACAGGACTATGCACGATTGCGGTAACAAGTGACTTGGTTCTCAGACAAATAGAGAAGTTAAAAATCTAACAAATTCCCAGGCCCTGATGAACTGTTTGCAAGGGTGTTAAAGGAATGTAAAGAAGAACTTAGCAAACCTTTGGCTAATCTTTTCAACATATCACTACAAACTGGCATAGTGCCTGATAAGTGGGAAATGACAAATGTAATACTTATTTATAAGGCAGGTGACAGGTCCTTAGCTTCAAACTATAGACCAATAAGCCTTACTTCTGTAGTGAGAAAATTTATGGAATCAATAATTGCCAAAGCAATTTGTTGCCATCTTGATAGGCATAAATTGATTAATGAATCTCAACACGGTTTTACAAAGGGGCGTTCCTGTCTTAAGAATTTACTAACTTTTTCCACTAGGGTGTTTGAGGAGGTAGATCATGGTAATGAATATGATATTGTGTATATGGACTTCAGTAAGGCTTTTGATAGAGTTCCACATCAGAGGCTATTGAGGAAACTTCAGGCACGCGGAATAGTAGGAGAAATTTCTTCCTGGGTAGAAGCATGGTTGACAAATAAGCAGCAGAGAGTTTGCATAAATGGGGAGAAATCAGAATGGGGGGCACGTCACAAGCGGTGTTCCACAGGGGTCAGTGTTGGGCCCATTGTTGTTCACAATTTACATAAACAACATAGATGAGGAAATAAATAGCGACATAAGCAAATTTGCTGATGACACCAAAATGGGCTGTCCAATTTCTTCTAATGAGGACACTAGAGCACTCCAGGATGATTTGAATAGGCTGATGCAATGGTTGGAGAAATGGCAGATGCAGTTTAATATAGACAAATGCAAAGTTCTAAATATTAGACAGGAAAATAACCATGCCACATATAAACTAAATAATGTAGATCTTAATACTATTGACTGCAAAAAGGATTTAGGAGTTGTGGTTAGCAGTAATCTAAAACCAAGACAACAGTGTATTAGTGTTTGCAATAAAGCTAAGAGAATCCTTGGCTTCATATCTAGAAGTATAAATAATAGAAGTCCTCAGGTTGTTCTTCAACTCTATATATAAATAACTCTATATATCCTAGGTTAGGCCTCATTTAGATTATACTGCACAGTTCTGGTCACCGTATTACAGAATGGATATAAATGCACTGGAAAACATACAGAGGAGGATGACAAAGTTGATCCCATGTATCAGAAATCGTCCCTATGAGGATAGACTAAGGGCCCTGAATCTGCACTCTCTCGAAAAGCATAGAAGTAGGGGGGGATATGATCAAGGTGTATTACTGGGAAACAGGAATAAATAAAGGAGATGTAAATAACATGCTGAAAATTTCCTGCCAAGACAGGACTTGCAGCAATGGTTTCAAGTTGGAAAAATTCAGATTCAGGAAGGATATAGGAAAGCACTGGTTTGGTAATAGAGTTGTGGATGAGTGGAACAAACTCCCGAGTGCAGTCATAGAGGCTAAAACGTTGTGTAGTTTTAAAAATAGGTTAGATAAATACATAAGTGGGTGTGGGTGTGTGTGAGTTGGACCTGACTAGCTTGTGCTACTAGGTCTGATGCCATGCTCCTTCCTTAAGTGGAAGTGACCTGACTAGGTGGGTCCTTGGGCTGATCCAGGGGGGGACATGGACCTGCTTTGCATGGGTCAGTAGGCCTGCTGCAGTGTTTCTTCTTTCTTATTTTCTTATGTTTATTATCCACAACTCTGGACTGACCTTCAGGACCTATTGACATTCTCTAGAATTCTTAGTTTCAGCTGCTCTTGTATCATTTGGACTGATCCTGGTAGGCTTTGGATCGGATCTCCATGTACATTAGCCTGTTCTCTGATGCTTTCTCCACTCCGAGTATGATACCTTCTGACGCTGCTATGTGTGGTATCACAGAAAATTCAATTTCTCCTGCTGGAGCACAACTTTGTGCCTCCTTGGCCTATCTTTCCATCTCCTTGGGGGTCTCACTTGGATGGTGGATTCGGTTCTGGTGTCTTGTGTCCCAGTGTTCCTGCTCCTCATTAACACAATGTTATCCAGCCGATGAATGGTTGGGCAGTGTTAATGTTTTCCCTTTTCACTTAGGGGTATCCATTTCATCACCCTCGCTACACTTAACTTAGATCACTGTTTTGTTCTTTTATAAATATACTGGTGGTCAACTATTGCTTGTTTCTCTGTGACTGATATAAACTTTGGAAGGTCAGTCTGAGCTCCCTCCCATTTCATGGTAATTTTGAGGTCATTTAGATAGCAAATTCCTTGTCATTCTAGGTTGGGGTGTTAATACACCTCAGTAACAGCTTCTGATACATATGCTTAGGTATTTGGGTGAAGTCATTGCCTGGAACAGTTGGCTCAATATCTGAATTTCTGTTAGTGCCTTATGCCCAGTGTCTCCTTAAATATTCATGGCACTGGCCTCTGTGGACATGGAGGGAAACACCACTTCAAGAATAGATTGCTCTTTAGTCTCTTGCATTTGTTGGTCATAAAGTTGTGTTTTAGTCATGGTATTTGTTGGGGATTATACATGTACACTTGTCTCATGTCATCTGTCCTAGCGCATATACAGCAGAGTCTTATGGCCTCTCAGAATGCCTGTTCTATGGCTCATTGCATTCCAGTGCTGGCTCTGCCTTTAGCAGAGTACAAAAATGATCTTTTCCACCATTTCTTGTGCACAGTTTTGTGTCTCCAATGAAATCACTCCTCACACTTGTCGAGTTACTATACTTTGTCAGATACATGCCTGTTGAATTCTTCCCTGCTCACAGCTGTCTCCTCCACTCTGGGTGTGGGTGGTACAATTTCATCTGGATCCTCCAAGATCTCACAGCAGACTGTTTAGAATGACAGACAACCTTCTGCATCGGGGGTGATTGGGATGTCCTTGGGTTTCTACTACCTCCCCAGCTATCTTATTTCAGGATGCTATTTGGGTTGGGGGTGGATCACGTAGGCCTCAGCTGGCACCTTTGCTTTACAACATTTGAGTAATGGAGACAAGTGAGGACTTAATGCATTGTACTCCTTACTGTGGTTATGTGAGGCGAGTTATTGGTAGAGATAATAAGTAGGACATATTTCAACTGGTGCCCTCGCTCTCGTGATTTCTGAAGCTCTGATCCATCTTTAATTTTTCAAAATATAGTTGTACCACTTTATCCTTCACATTGTTACCAAAGATTCGACTCTACCTCAGAACTCCTCCCTCTCCAGGGATGCTATATTGAACTTTAGAATTCACAAGTCTGAATAATCCAGGTATTCATTGCCAAAAATAATTTTTGAATTTTAGGGTTTTCTGTAATCCCCATTTGTAACCCTTATTTCTGACTGAATACTTTTTTGCCAATTGTGAAACTTCCATGGAGTGCAATCCTTGCAAAAGTCTGGGTTTACTGTACCTTCTAAACCTCAGGCTAATACTAATTCTTAACATTTACAGAGCACTAAGTATGAAGTTCAAAACCACACATGCTCCGCCCGGCGACACATTGGTACATAGAGGTGATGTCCTAACCTCCATGTACTTCATCTCTAGAGGCTCCCTGGAAATCCTCAAAGATGATGTTGTGATGGCAATTTTAGGTAAGTAAACAATATATTGTCAAGTATTTTTTGTTAATATTTCCCATAAGAAATAATGTAAATCCAATTAATCCATTCCAGACACCCAAAAATATTAACAAAAAATACATTTTATAGAGAATAACTATAGTTTTACATACAGAAAAGGGATGATGAAATTCGAGGGTCCACTGTATTAACATTATCCATAAATTTTAATAATTTAGCTCAACTTCAGGAAAAATCCCACAATTAAGAGTTATTTTAATAATTTGAAAATAATATGACTTCTCTGTGTACAGTATTTACCACATTTTATTACATACAACTACATTATACTATATATTATTTATTCATTTATCTTTTTTTAGTTGTGTATATTTTTTCACTAGTATTTTTTGAGTTAGTATGGAAAAACTTATGCCTTATTGCCTGTTCTCTTTTGTACTTTAGTTAGTTTTGTATCCCACTAGGAAAGCCATGCCTTTCAGGAAAGGGAACCCTAAATTAGATTTTGATTTAGATTTAGATTTTTTTATTTTGACAAATTGCATGGTTGTACAGAGGTATATAATAGTTGGGTGTACATGAAAATTAGAAAATTATTCTTGAATTGTTTAGTCTCAGGTTCTTGAGTGTTTTTCAGGCACTTATTAAATCTTAAGTATAGTACTTTCACATCTAATGTTACATGTTCAAGTTCTTTTTTGCTTATAACTTGCTTTTTTTATTTCCAGGTAAAGATGACATATTTGGGGAGAATCCATGCATCTACCCAACCATAGGAAAATCATCATGTAATGTACGTGCTCTCACTTATTGTGACCTGCACCGCATTATGAGGGATGATATCCTTGATGTCCTCGATCTTTATCCAGAGTTTGCAGAAGAGTTCTCTCGAAACCTAGAGATAACCTTCAACCTGAGAGATGTAAGACAGATATTTCAGTATAAGCTCATTAACTTGGATATTTATTTTTTCATAAATGCTTCAAGTACTGAGTATATTTATCATAGGGGACAGTGGGATACTCTTAAATTCACTTGACACAAAATATAATTAGTACTAAATGATCACTTCCTGTCAGAAATTTTGTGAGATAAATTTGTTGTATATACTGCTCTGTAGTTTGGTAAAATCATTTTAGATTGCTGATTTCTTCTTAAAAATTTAATTTTCATTTCTTCAATAGAGGGGTACTGTTTATCCTGATAAATGAGAACAAATCAAAGAGAAATTATTAGGGTTTGACCTGTACATCTGTTATGTATTGTGGTCGTTAGGTAAATACTGGTGAAAAAGTGCAATATTTATCTGGATTAATATTATATATGTCTGAAATTTTAATGAAATTTTAATGAAAATAAGAAAAAATTTTGGAGTGAGTTAAACAAGTTAAAAAAGCCTAGGAAAAGTATGGATTTGTCAGTTAAAAACAGAGTAGGGGAGTTAGTAGATGGGGAGAGGGAGGTATTAGGTAGATGGCGAGAATATTTTGAGGAACTTTTAAATGTTGAGGAAGAAAGGGAGGCGGTAATTTCATGCACTGGCCAGGGAGGTATACCATCTTTTAGGAGTGAAGAAGAGCAGAATGTAAGTGTGGTGGAGGTACGTGAGGCATTACGTAGAATGAAAGGGGGTAAAGCAGCTGGAACTGATGGGATCATGACAGAAATGTTAAAAGCAGGGGGGGATATTTATTTATTTATTTATTTATTTATTTATTTAAAAATTTGAGCACACATACAGAGGTACAAAAAATACAGATAAGAGCAGCATGCCAAAGCCACTTATACTATGCATAGCATTACGGGCTGGCTTAAAATTAACTTAAGATGAACTAAGCAATGATGACATCAGTGATAAAACTTTAATGTAAACAGATTACTATAAAGCACAAGTGAGTATTACAAAGACAGGTCATATGGTTGTATGCATTGTTGTACATTCAGTAGAATGGAGTATTCTGTTAGGTAGTGTATTTAAAAAATAATAAAGTTAGATTGGGTTTTAGGTTTAACATTTATGTGATATAATTGTGAGAAATATTTAAGATATACAATTCATAAGGTTCAGTTATTCAGTATTTATTTGGTTTTGGGTGAGTAAGTGATCTTTGAGAAGAGACTTGAATTTATAAACAGGTAGTGTTTCTTTTATATTTACAGGTAATGAGTTCCAGATTTTAGGGCCTTTTATGTGCATTGAGTTTTTGCATAGTGTGAGATGGACACGAGGAACATCAAAGAGTGATCTGTGCCTTGTGTTATGGTCATGTGTTCTGTTGAGGTTGGCAAGGAGATGTTTGAGGGGAGGGTTAATATCAGAGTTAAGTGTTCTATGTATGTAATAGGTGCAGTAATAAGTATGAATGTTTTGTGTGGTGAATAGGTTTAGTGTATTGAATATTGGTGGAGTGTGCTGCCTATAGTGAGAATTTGTTATCATTCTAACTGCAGCCTTTTGTTGGGTAATTAGTGGTCTGAGATGGTTACTTGTTGTTGAGCCCCATGCACAAATTCCATAGGTGAGATAGGGGTAAATAAGAGAGTGATATAGGGCCAGGAGGGCTGACTGTGGAGCATAGTACCGTATCTTCGATAGTATGCCTACAGTCTTGGAAATTTTCTTAGAAATTTGTTGTATATGTGTATGAAATTTGAGTCTATTATCAAGGTGGATTCCTAAGAATTTTCCCTCTGTTAGCTTTGTGATAGGTGATCCGTTTATCATTATGTTAAGAGGGACATCTGTAGCTCTGTTACCAAACTGAATGAAGTAGGTTTTGTCAATGTTTAGTGTAAGTTTGTTAGTCCTCATCCAGGTAGATATTTTCTGTAATTCGGTATTTACAGTATTGGCTAGCGTGACTGGGCTCGGGTGGGAGAAGACGTATGTAGTGTCATCTGCAAATAGTGTGGGTTTGAGTAATTGCGAAGCATTGGTAGGTCATTTATGTATAGGAGAAAGAGAAGAGGGCCAAGGACACTTCCCTGTGGGACACCAACTGTAATTGGTTGTGCAGAAGAGTTTGCCCCATTTGCATACACATATTGGCTTCTGTTGCTGAGGTATGACTTGAGGTAGTTGAGGGAGTGCCCTCTTATACCATAGTGTGACAATTTTACGTGGAGCAAGTCATGGTTAACTGTATCAAAAGCTTTACGTAAGTCAATGAAGATCCCCAGTGGGACTTTTTTTCTCTTATTGCAGTGTATATATGTTCTAGCATGTGTATAATAGCATCATTAGTATTTTTATTTGGCCTGAATCCAAATTGGCAGGGTTGAGTATGTTTGGGAGATAAGGTAGGAGTAGATTCGTTTATGAATTAATTTTTCGAAGATTTTTGAGAGAGGGTGTAAGTTGGATATTGGCCTATAGTTATTCAACTCTGTTTGGTCTCCTCCTTTGTGGATCGGGGTGACCCTTGCTATTTTGAGTACTGTAGGGAAGGTGGAGGATTCAATGGATTTGTTAAAGAGTGTTGCAATGATTGGTGATAGCACTTGTGACACTTTTTGTATATAAAGGGTGGTAAGGTATTTAAATCTCCTGCCTTGTTTTTTTAGCGTGTTGATAATAAGGGAGACTTCGTATGGGTTAGTCGAGACTAGGAACAGTGTGTTCGGGTAGTTGCCAGTGAGGTAGTCATTTGGTGGGGTATCTGAGCTTGGGATTTTATTGGCAAGGTTTTGTCCTATAGTGGAGAAGAAGTCATTGAGCCTGTTTGCTGTTTCTGTTGGTGGAGTTGGGGTTCATCTGATTTTGCTAATTTTATTTCGTTATTTCGTGATATCTTTTTTGTTCCTAGAATTTCTGATAGGGTTTTCCAGGTCTTTTTTATATCACCTCGTAAGTTGGATAATCTGTTCTCATAATACAATTTTTTTGCCCTTCTTATCAGGCTGGTTAGGATTGACGAGTAACGTTTTGTTTGGTCTCTGGTTATGTGACCCATTCTGTACTGTTTTTCATATTGGTGTTTCGTATTTATGGATTTGAGAATGCTGGGTGTTAACCAGGGACTGTTCAGTCTCTTAGCTGTCATCTGTTTAGTTTTTTTAGGGCAGTGCTTGTTATAGAGGTATTGGGTCTTTTTTAGAAAATTATTAATACATTCGTCAATATCTGTATAGATTTCTAGCTCAGTGTGCCAGTCAATGTTTGCTACTGCTGTTGTGAAGTTATTAATGGCTGCCTCATTGTGAAGTCTGAAGGTGACTTTAGTGTTTAGTGTTTAGTGTTTAGTGTTTAGTGTTGGAGTGGTTGGTACTTTTGCTTAATAAATGTATGAAAGAGGGGAAGGTACCTAGGGATTGGCGGAGAGCATGTATAGTCCCTTTATATAAAGGGAAAGGGGACAAAAGAGATTGTAAAAATTATAGAGGAATAAGTTTACTGAGTATACCAGGAAAAGTATACGGTAGAGTTATAATTGAAAGAATTAGAGGTAAGACAGAATGTAGAATTGCGGATGAGCAAGGAGGCTTCAGAGAGGGTAGGGGATGTGTAAATCAAGTGTTTACATTGAAGCATATATGTGAACAGTATTTAGATAAAGGTAGGGAAGTTTTTGTTGAATTTATGGATTTAGAAAAGGCATATGATAGAGTGGATAGAGGAGCAATGTGGCAGATGTTGCAAGTATATGGAATAGGTGGTAAGTTACTAAATGCTGTAAAGAGCTTTTATGAGGATAGTGAGGCTCAGGTTAGGGTGTGTAGAAGAGAGGGAGAATACTTCCCGGTAAAAGTAGGTCTTAGACAGGGATGTGTAATGTCACCATGGTTGTTTAATATATTTATAGATGGGGTTGTAAAAGAAGTAAATGCTAGGGTGTTCGGGAGAGGGGTGGGATTAAATTATGGGGAATCAAATTCAAAATGGGAATTGACACAGTTACTTTTTGCTGATGATACTGTGCTTATGGGAGATTCTAAAGAAAAATTGCAAAGGTTAGTGGATGAGTTTGAGAATGTGTGTAAAGGTAGAAAGTTGAAAGTGAACATAGAAAAGAGTAAGGTGATGAGGGTATCAAATGATTTAGATAAAGAAAAATTGGATATCAAATTGGGGAGGAGGAGTATGGAAGAAGTGAATGTTTTCAGATACTTGGGAGTTGATGTGTCGGCGGATGGATTTATGAAGGATGAGGTTAATCATAGAATTGATGAGGGAAAAAAGGTGAGTGGTGCGTTGAGGTATATGTGGAGTCAAAAAACGTTATCTATGGAGGCAAAGAAGGGAATGTATGAAAGTATAGTAGTACCAGCACTCTTATATGGATGTGAAGCTTGGGTGGTAAATGCAGCAGCGAGGAGACGGTTGGAGGCAGTGGAGATGTCCTGTCTAAGGGCAATGTGTGGTGTAAACATTATGCAGAAAATTCGGAGTGTGGAAATTAGGAGAAGGTGTGGAGTTAATAAAACATTAGTCAGAGGGCAGAAGAGGGGTTGCTGAGGTGGTTTGGTCATTTAGAGAGAATGGATCAAAGTAGAATGACATGGAAAGCATATAAATCTATAGGGGAAGGAAAGAGGGGTAGGGGTCATCCTCGAAAGGGTTGGAAAGAGGGGGTAAAGGAGGTTTTGTGGGCGAGGGGCTTGGACTTCCAGCAAGCGTGCATGAGCGTGTTAGATAGGAGTGAATGGAGACAAATGATACTTGGGACCTGACGATCTGTTGGAGTGTGAGCAGGGTAATATTTAGTGAAGGGATTCAGGGAAACCGGTTATTTTCATATAGTCGGACTTGAGTCCTGGAAATGGGAAGTACAATGCCTGCACTTTAAAGGAGGGGTTTGGGATATTGGAAGTTTGGAGGGATATGTTGTGTATCTTTATACGTATATGCTTCTAAACTGTTGTATTCTGAGCACCTCTGCAAAAGCAGTGATAATGTGTGAGTGTGGGGAAAGTGTTGAATGA